GCGGGTCTGGTTCCAATTCTATGGGTTGGTTCTTGGCAGCCGAAGGCATCCATGTGCGCATGCGAGGTCTCCGGAGAGTGACCTAGAGTGCGAGCCCAGGGAACCCCAGAGGCCGCGTGCAGACAGCGTGGTAGGGTGGCGCTCCATGCCCCGAGGCCGCGCGCGCAGCACGGCACACTTTCTGCCTCGTAATAAGCTCCGCCTCTACTCCCGAGTTCGCACGCCTCCTGCGAAGCGTGCCTGTCCTGGTCCGGTGTCCCACTGGGCAGACGGGAGGGAAAGCAGTTGCTCTGGCGTTCCTCAGCTTAGGGCTCTAACTCGGAGAAGAGCAACCGTGTGTCTTACACCGTCCCCCACGTTGGGCTGTACCCAGCTCGTTCGGGGACAGCTGCTGTCCCCCTCTGGGCTCCAAGGACCTGCCAGATCGAGCTCTGGCTGCTGCGTGCAGAAGTGGGGACAGATTGGACTTCCCACTGCACTCACCGAATAAGCGGGGTGTCCTAGGCAGGCACTGGGGAAGGGGGTGACGCCATGTGGAGACACCTTCCGGAGCCCTGGAGTTGGGTTCCGCAGTCTCAACGTCTCCCATCACTGAAAACGGGAACGCGTTGTGGTTAAGGTGACTGATTTAATAAAGTGCTGGGCGTTTTTGTGGGCCACAGACACCTTTAAGAGGAAGCAGAGGTTAGGGAGGCTCTTAATTCATGCCAGTGCCGTAGGTGCTGGGCCCTGGCGGGGCACCTGGTGGCTATGCTCATTGGAAAGTAATCTGAGTGCAGCTGGAGAGCATTTGCGTGGCTTCCAGTCTTCCTCGGGCTAGTGAATCACTGCAGCCCTGGCCCTGAGTCAGAAAAAGCCTTGGGCTTGACGTGGACCCCCTTTCTAGAGTAAAATGTCTGGACTCGGAGCTGAGGTCTGTGAAACAGCGCCGCAGGCTGCGGGAGACAGCGACTGCACGCGGCTCCGGGAGTGGGCAGTTGTGTTCAACTGGCACTTGATTTCTATGAGCCCAGCACTCTGGTTCCAGGCAGCGTGGATGTGAACTTCAGAGCCGACGTGCCAGCAGAGAGCGAGCAGGAAACAGCTCTCGGCAGGCAGCACCGCAAGAGCCAGCCCCCGGCAGCCCGCGGAGCTGGTTCACGGGCTGGTGGGCGCCGGGTCTAGCCCGTGGGCACGCTCAGATGGTAGCCTCTTGCGGGGACCCTGCCCTGGCAGGTCTCGTTCGCCTCAGCCCTGCAGGGGGAGACACTGCAGGAAGCTGGTATGGCCCCTCGGTGCGCCCCGCTGCTCCTTTGACTCCAGGACTGACCTCTGGAAACAGGCCGGCTGCCCAAGCCAGTACTGAGAGACCAGCGAGAGATGGGAAACTCTAGGGGTTTTTAGCTTCATTCCCATTAAAAACCTGTTCCTGTTTACCTCCCCAAAAGATGATGCTCTTCAGGAGGGAAACAGACCGGGCCCAGGCACCTGCCAGCACGTGGTCGGTCAGGGGCTTAGTCACGCGACGGGTACGAGGAAAGGAGACCTACTGGTTATAGCCTCCTCCCTTTATTCTGCGTATTTAGAAACCAGCACCTCTGTCTGGGAAGTAGCTCTCACCGTCACCGCGTCTGTGAGGTGCGCTGTAGGGCAGACGCAGCCCAGCGGGAGGAGTGCAGGGCGCCCTGGCGAGGCCCCAGGCTGCTGTCTGTGGGGCTGGGGGTGCATTTCACCCGGAGCCAGGATGGAAGCAGAGGTCGGCGGCTGGGACTGTATCGCGGCTTCTGAATTTTTCAGTGTCAGTGAAAGATGCCCACCGTGATGCGCTGTTGCCACAACAGCGAGCCATGGCTGTGCCGGCCTGCACGGAGGGCGCTCGAGGCCCGGCCCCCCGCCTG